TTTCAGCAAAACTTAAAAATTTTGTTTTTCCTTTTTTTTTTTTTTTTTTTTTTTTTTTTAATTACTTCTGATATATCTATGTAAATTCTGGAAGACTGTTAAACCACTGTGGCTAAAGACAAAGCACGAGCCTTCCCTTTGGGTATCTCAACCTGGAGCCTCCTGCAGTTTCTCACTGAAAATAGGGGCAGACACAAATTCACTGTGCACGTTTGTTAAACGACTCCCTCTTCGACATCTAAAGATCGTATTTGTCAAAATTCGTTTCTGGCAGGAACTGGATTGAGTCTGAATCCGGAATAACAGGGAACAGTTGGAGCCTGTGCAACAGCCACTGCAGCAGCTCCTGGGGATCTTTGCCATCTAGTGGTGAGCAGATTCTTGCCGTTTCCTGAGCACCGCCCCTGCCTGCTGCTTTCATTTGCTGTAGTCTCCAGCTACTCGAGCTTAATTTTATAGCGCCAGATATGCAATTAGCAGCGCTCTGTCAGTGGCAGTGCTTAGGTAACAGGTAGACTTACTACATACACGGTTGCACCAGACTTTTTTTCTTTTTTTCTAACTTTAGGCTTGTGGGTTTGATTTTTTTTTTTTTTTTTTTTTTGTCTCAGTACTTTGCTTGTAGAGACTGGTTTAACTGAATAATTTAGAGAGTCCCTTTACATCTTGTACACAGGAAGGCAGAAGGCTCTTCTAACCGGAAAACCACAGCTCTTTTTAAATTGTCTTTGTTTTCTACCTTTGCTTGGTGAAAAGAAATGTGAAATAACCCCAACTTCCTTTCTGGTAGGTTTCCATTTTAATATCAGTATGATCTAAATTGTTCTGTTGTTATTGTGATTTTTTTAAAATATTTTTTCTGAAACTGAGAGAAGGTTCTGCCAGATGAACTCTACAGACCACTTTCCAGCAGTCCTATTCACCCTCTGCTTCTTGTGACTTAGATCCTGATAACATGGTTATGAAACCATCCAAATGCCAGTCTCCTCCGAGGCCATGGTTAACATCTGTCTTTCCTCCTGACGCACAGGGGAGACCCAGTGTAGTTATAACAACATTTCTTTCTGTGAAGCCCAGTGGTGGTTGCAAATTGTGGGGAAACAAGTTCAGAAGCATCTGGTCTCAAATAATTTGCACCTGGGACTCTGAAGAAGAAAAAAGGGGGAGGTGATGTACTCTTTTAACAGGACAGTAACAAAGTCACTGCCAAGTCCCAGGCCAGGCACAATATTTCACATGTCTAACATTGCTTTGTGGGGATGTGGTGAAAACACCGAAGAATTAGTTTTGCCAGGGTATTTTCTTCTTGTTCGCAGAAGAGCTATAAACAGAAAGGCAAAACCATTCAGTGCAACTGGAAAGATTTCTGCACGTGGCCCAACTATGGTGTGATGTTGAAGCCACATGTGGAGGACAGGCAAGAGGAGCGCCCTTTCTCTGACCAGGGAAGTCCACGCTTCTGTCTGTAAATGCATAATAGCAATGCAGGAGCTAGTATGAGTACTTACACCAGCTAATACAGGAAGGCTGCAGTGCAGGTTGGGTGTAGCACATCTTTCATGAAACTAACAACAAATGTGGAGGGTTCTTCTAGTGATGTGGTGCATCTGCATGTTTTGCTTCTGGTGCTTGGATGTTTTCAGATACGTGTCAGAAGTGGAAACAGCCCTAAACTGAATGGGAAGGGGGCTGTATCATCACTCCCAGGGCCGGTTACTGAGAGTATGGACCCCAGACTCTGCTGGAGCAGGGGAGAAAACAGGATGACATCTCCATGTACCTTCTCTTCCCTGTAAATCTATGCCCACAGACTACAAAATAGACCTATTGCAACTCCGGAATGACCTATGCTATTCAAATCAAAGGATAAAACAATCAAAACAACTTTTCTAACTTTTAACATAAAACTAAATTTCCTCGTGTCTCTTGGAAAGGGAGCAGCACTGCTCAAAAATGCCTGTCCTCATCACCAGTGGGCTTATCTAGATGGGACTTAACAAGAACTGAGCAGAAGCTTAGGTTTTGCAGAGTATGGG